GCCGTACAGAATATTTTCTAATTTGACAATAGTTATAGAAGGATACAATATCATTTTAACAATGCTCTGTACGTAGTCAAAATTGTGCTCATCTTTTTTTCGTCCACAAAAAGCGCCTAAAATAAAATAGTACCGGTACTTGTACAAGCTGCTGCTGGCCCGCTCACTTAGACAAGCTGCTGCTGGCCCGCTCACTTGGACAAGCTGCTGCCGGCCCGCTCACTTGGACAAGCTGCTGCTGGCCCGCTCACTTGGACAAGCTGCTGCTGGCCCGCTCACTTGGAAAAGCTGCTGCTGGCCCGCTCACTTGGAAAAGCTGCTGCTGGCCCGCTCACTTGGACAAGCTGCTGCTGGCCCGCTCACTTAGACAAGCTGCTGCTGGCCCGCTCACTTGGACAAGCTGCTGCTGGCCCGCTCACTTGGACAAGCTGCTGCTGGCCAGCTGACTGACGAGTCAAAACTGGTTCATTTTTTTAAGCTACAAACGTGAAGAAATACTTCATTAACTTCACTTCATTTAATTTAGTCTTAACAATATCACAAATAATACCTCCAAGGGTATGCATGTATGCTGTAACGATGTGTCCAATAGGCAAGCATAGTATAATTAATTAAATGCACAGAAGTTGGCACTAATTTGGATTTGTATAAAGTGCGAAACTTGAAAGAATGTTTTTTGTCAAGTAACTTGAGTTATTTGCAAGTTCATGCGTTGCCACCGCCATTATTTGGTTGGTAATTTCACGCTTGGTTGATAATGTGCCCTAAAACTAATTCAGCACTAAGACCGCACGAAATCGACATCTATCTATAAATATGATTCGCCAGCAAAGGTCAAACACTACCACCACCCAGGCTATATATAGATACGCCAGAGTGTGGTTAAATAATGATTTCACTAGCGCGCAAAATATAATTCCCGATAACTACGCTAAATGATCTATATATTTTTTAATAACACAATTGCGTTTGATGCGTACTGTAATATTTTCTTTTCGGAAATGAAATCGTCTCAATATTGTGTAAAAAATATTCGGTTTAAAAGTGTTTGGGACATGAGAATATTTATATAGTTTGTGAGCGATTCCGAGACGTATGCTACGTCGCGTGTCGACTAGTACCGTATAGAAATAAACGAACACAAAGTACCACGTCGTTATAAGAAAAAAAACTTTAACAAATCGACGTAATTATTATAGTTATAGCGAGCCATCTAGGAAATATTTGTCAAGGCATCTGCAGACAAGTAATTACTGAATAACCAGTTTGAATTAAGTCTACTATAACTGAGGCGTTGTATTACTACTACATCATGATTTTTTTTATTTTTCGCGGCGCCCCCGCGAGGTTGTGCAATATCAGGGGAGTGCAGTTTCAATTTGTTACAGTTATTCTGAGTTACAGGTAGATGCAAAGTGCAATATAAGGTATGCAATTTTTTGGTGTACGCCAAGAGGGAATTTTTGTATAATTTTTAAAACCCTATTTGCTTTATTGCATCATTTATTATAAGGGGTTTTCCCTCCCCCCTCACCTATTTTTTCCCAAGCCGCATCCTCCACTGAACTAGCATTCAGTGCCAAGTAAATGTCAAACGTTTTTTGTTTTATTAGTATTAGCTCCTGAATGTCAGAACACTTAAAACTGATGAATATGAAGATACAAAGTGCTGAGCAAAGCAATATCTGGAATGGATGCCATCTGCTCAATCACTCAGTCAGCACCTACCTGTTCACAAGACCGCAGGTAAGTCGAGGCACTCGGATGTGCAACATTAAATCTAGCAGTTCCACGGGCAGTTTATCGCCTGGTGTGAGAACCGAATAGGCTTTTAACGCCTCGATCGGTGAGGACAGAAAGGTTTCACTATCTGACGGGCATCAGTTGTAAAGATTCATGTAGATCGCAGAATCCACCTGTTGGGGATGTTAGTAACTTGTTACCGTACTAAGTCTAGTAAATGGGACGTGCTTCAACAGGCTCAAAACAATTTTTTGCAACATTCCTGGGGGGGGGGGGGGGGGGGGAGAGGGTACAGGTTCAGAAACACGTTTGCAACATTCCTTTTGGTGCCAGAGGTTCTTAATATACGCGTTTGCAACATTCCTTTTGGTGCCAGAGGTTCTGATACACGTTTGCAACATTCTTTCAGTACTACAGGTTCAGAATTATATTCGGGAAGAGATCTCGGGGCGCCAAAGTGGGCTTTGTTGGCATTTAAAATTTAATGGACGAAAATAATGGGCTTGAGTTGAAGGGGCTTACAAATTACAAATGAATCTTGTCCTCTGACGCCAAACACTCGAGCTATGCCTCTGCAACTGGCGTAGAAAAAGGGGGTTGGATGGGGTGGTCCGCCCAGGAGGGGGAGGGGCGGCATTTTCTGACAACCGCATAGTTTTTATCATGAAATGGAGCGTGGCAAAAATATGTTCCTGCCCAGGGCGGCACTAACACTAGCTACACGACTAGGCAGTGTATCTATTGCCACTATTGGCACCCAAACTGGCTAATGAGTCAAATAACCAGTGTAAGTGTAAGCCTCTAAGAAGATTAGTCTTAAATACGGGTAATCAAATATATCGAGCGTAAAGAAATTTCATAGCTTACACTAATACTAATTGTAATCAGTTAAAGAGTTAACGGCAACAATTACTATTATTTGTAAAAATTTTATTAAAATTAAAATGACAATTTAGTCGTTTGAAAAAACAACATATTTTCGATTTATTGTTGTACCCCGGTATGCATTTGTCTCAGGGAGGGGGGGGGGAGGGGAAGAGTTGCCCTTTTCCGAGGGGAGGCCTCTGCATCCCAACCCCGGAGAGGTGCTTGAAAGCAACACTTGTCCTAAAGTCAACAGTCCGACTCGTGTAATTATTTGGGTATGTAGTATGTAGTCAAGTCTCGTACTTTTACTTTTTGTTTTTAGCACAAACGAGAGCTTTAACTTTAACCTTCACTGAAATTTGAAACTTTATAAAGTTAATTTTCCTTGACAAACATGTCAACATTTCATCAAAAGCAACACGAATAATTATTCGCCTTTAACACTTTCAATTGACATTGATTGTTCCGGTCCAGATGGTAAATAGTTCTTTATAATAATATTAATACGTACAATTTTCAGTTTTGAAAAGCCCTTCTCACATTTGTCTTGTGGTATTATAAGTATAAACAAGACACGGATACGATTGTGAGGAAGAATGGAGGACTTATATTGAGTTATATGTAGAGGATTATAATATCCCTGACAATGTCTGACACTGACAAGCATCCCGTTCACTAGATTTGTCAGAACATTTATATTTATAGACTCAATCGAGTCTTTGGTGCAAGTAAGAAGATACCCGTTAAGAAAAGATGTTGATATTACTGATATTGAACTTAATTTTTAAGTCTGGTAACACCCTGCCCCTGCTCTTGTTTTAACTTGTCAAATTTGCAATTTTCCATTTGGTGTGTCCCCACCCCCCTTGTTACCTGAGATTTGTGTCACCCGGGTGCGGCCCCTAGTGACGTCGCTGCTTCATGCGCATCTGATTTTTTTTTTTATAATCGTATTTCGTAAGTTCGCGATTTGCTACTTAACTTAGTTGATCTTTTTCACATTTCAATGAATCTTGGGTACGATTCTTGTTCACGGGAATCTTGAATTACCATTACCACTGGTTGAAATTCCTTGTCGGATGAGGAGCTACACAATTATAATTAATTTTCAATATCGGTACCGTACTACAAAATACCTGTCTCAGATAGGACTGGCAGGCAAAAGACCAACATACGACTAAGACACGCTACCAACTACCAAAGACTACCAACTACCAATATGACCGTACGAAAAGGAGGTACCGGTATATTATATATATTTATACATTACCATTACCGGTATTTGATTGTTGATGACGTTATAAATACCGGGTATTCGGTGACAATCATGGGCGCCCGCAGAAAACTTTCTAAGGGGGGGGGGGGCAAAAATCGATTAACTTTCCAGGGGGGGGGATTTTTTTAGTAATGATTTAATATAATTTTAATTTACAGTAGCGTATTTGTATGGTGAACGAATGGACAGGACATCAGCTTAGTTACTCTATTTTCTCTTTACTTTAATAAATTGTTTGTTTATTTTTGTCTAAATTTTTTTTATCCAATCACTCCGGGGGGGGGGGGCACTTGCCCCCTACCTGCGGCGCCCATTGTGACAATAGTCAAATCACTCGAAATTCGAAGGCATCAGCAGACATTGCTGGTGAAATTGGACTATAGTATACCGGTATTAATACAGGTACCGGAAATGTGTTTGAGAAGTGATGGAAATGTCATGTTGGTGTCTATATACCGGTAATTAATAATCTTTTGTAATTAGTAAGGGGTGTGGCGATGATAGTGATAGTCAAAGATACTATTTGAAATCATGGGTGTGGCGATGATAGTCAACAATACCATTTGAAAACCAGATATTGATATGAAGCTTACCACTTTAACATTTCCTTGCTATATATAATCAATCTTTAGTCACACCCTCATTCAGTAACCCATAAAATTTGATAACTACCCCCCCCCCCCATATTAACTGATGAAGATTATATCCCATTTCAAATACGGTACCGTAATTCAGTAGCAGTACCCACTACCCTACCTCGATACTGGCAAGATATGAAGCTTACCACTTTAACATTTCCTTGCTATATATAATCAATCTTTAGTCCCACCCTCATTCAGTAACCCAAAAAATTTGATAACTACCCCCCCCCCCATATTAACTGATGAAGATTATATCCCATTTCAAATACGGTACCGTAATTCAGTAGCAGTACCCACTACCCTACCTCGATACTGGCACAGTACTTTTTGTATATGTAGTCATAGAGGGGATGATCTTATGGTGACAACCTCTTCCCCCCTCCTCCCCACCGGAGACAGCTGTCAACATGTCAATATTTTGACCACACAAAAACAACACTTCATATTTACAAATACAAGTAACTATCAACAGATGTATAGTGCCAATGAACTTTATTAGAATTCCACTCTCACAGATATCCTGATCCTGGCATGCTCACACCAATTCACTGTAGCTTCAATTATCAGACTTCACAGCAACTGTGTTCTTTTTATTGTGTTTTCTGGAAAATTTGAGGTTCTTCAAAAACTTGGGATCAACCTGTCAATCAAAGGGGAAGAATTTGTTAAATTATTGCATATAATGGTCATTAATTTATGTGTATAAACTATTCTGTTGAATTATTGTAGATAACTAATATCAGTTTTATAGCCTTATTGAGCCCACTTCCTGATCACTTAAACTTAATAAGTACTAGAAATTACCTTTAAAATCTAATGCAGACTGCACTTCTAATAGTTCAAGAGCTGACAAAGTCTCATTGGTTAAACATTCAGTTATCACTAGATAAACCTTAAAACTTATACTTACTCCTTTCATGGAGGGATATCTGTTGGACTTGGGCCTGTGGATACCATTTCTGTGGTGTTTCTTGTCTAAATGGAGAAATAAAGAAAATAACATGTCATGTGAGGTCAGTAAGAGGTCAGCCTACACAAAACCACATGTGCACTTGTTGGCATGCACTGGCCTTGGGTGGATGACTTGTTGAATGGCTATGAAGATATCACACATTTTATGTCGTGTACATAGGTGTAGAGTAAAAAGGAGAAATCTGTTCTTTATTATAGTAATATTAGTGTACACTATTTAATGGTACCCAAACAATAATATCACATCACAAATCCAGATGCCAGCAATACCGGTAAGCATAATAATACTACAGGCGGTTACAGTTACACAATACTTTACACAAATGGGAACCCAACCTCCTTATGCTGAGGTATGCTAAAGCACGTTTTTAAATTAATTACCGTACTCCACATAAAACAAATAAAATAAGAACAAACAAAAAAAAAAAAAAAAAGAAAGATTTTAGGGATCTAGAACAACAGAGAAAATAAAAGGAACCCAACCTCCTTATGATGAGGTATGCTAAAGAACGTTTTTAAATTAATTACCGTACTCCAAAAAAAAAAAATAAAAAAAGAGCAACCAAAAAAAAAAAAAAAAAAGAAAGATTTTAGGGTTCTAGAACTACAGGGAAAATTAACTCCTGGTTTCCTAGCCTACAAACTTCAAAGCCTTGTTGCCGAGTCGAAGATGAACGACCTCATTACAGATACTAAAAGTAGGGTAAACTCATCAAGTCTAGCTAAGTGAGGAAGTAAGTTTAACAACATGTGCAATTTATTAGCATGGTAACTATATCACATGGTACCTTACGCTCCAAAGGTGAACATTCTCAGATGACCTACTTACTAAAAAAATCAAGAATTTAAACTAAAATACACTGTACAGTTTCTTCTGGAACATTTCTTAAACAAAGACACCAGGATCAAACTAAAAGCAAAAATTCAGGCCTTTATCACAACCAGTAAACTCTAGTGAAAACAAATATTTCATTTATCTCATGCATATATAGATAACCAAGGTTAAGCAAAGAACTAATAGCACGATTTAACATGATTAAATACTGTTTTACTTTCTAATGTGTGTTTTTGAGTCTTAGAAATAGGAGCCCTTAAAAACGTATTTATTTCATTCATTAAACTCGTTAAAATTAAAGTAGCTAACATCAAGTATTAAATGATCCAATACTGGCAACGCGGCATATATTAATTAATATTATGGGAACCACTGGGTTGGTCAAACAGTCGGCGCTGCAAGCCTGTCACACATTGTTATTATTTCTGAGAAGTTACAATTAAATATACATTATTTGATTTCGTTGGTATTTGAGGAGGGGGGGGGGTCGTCCGAAAGCTTCTTGTACGATCACATTGGTGGAGGGGGTCCTCAAAAAGTACGCGTACAACAGGAAAGGGGCTAAAAAAGTTGACTTTTTTGCGTACCGCTGTCCTAAACACGTGTTGGTCTACTTGATATTATTTAAGTATTATTACTGAGGGGCGAACCAACCAAATATTGTGAAGACCAAAATGGGGGTCCAACTATGTCGACGTCTGATACCAATATGTAACTAGAATATTAGGGCCTATTTAAAATACCATAACAACTAACAAACATTGCAAAGGCATTACCTGAAGTCAGTGATAACTATGCAGAGTTTTTAAAAAAAACAAAAACAACCACATTGCTAATGGTGGCGACGACAACGGTACGTATGAAGCAAGTTAAAAGCAGCCATTAGCAGAAAAGCTAGAAATGGAAGCCCCAACTGTGCTAGTGACCCAAACCCTCTTAAGTTTTCATTTCCAGCTCTAGTTGGAATAAGAATAGCCTGACCGTGATCTCTCAGATGGCAAGGGGGGGAAACACTAAGATACGTTGTCAGAACAGACCAATAGAGCACGTGCGATAGGTCCTAGGTACATACACGTGACATGTTATAAATACACACGTTTTCAAGGACAAAGCTTTCATCTTTTCCAACTGGACCAACTGAGTTCGTGGAGACTTAATAATTTATAGGCACCCCCCCCCCTTTGCAACCTGCCCCCGGGGTGTCTTTCACATTAATATTTGAACCTATGGGCGTCACATTTTTAACACGAGACTATTCTATGTTCAATTAAATGCAAAGTAAAATTAAAAGAAACAAAATGGGAATAAGCATCAATGAATAACATTATTATTTTTTAACATACTAATCTTTTTATAATATAAAAAATAAAAAAAATAAAAAATAAAAAAAAAAAGCTTTAAAAGTCCTCAAGTTAGGTGCTCAGGCCTCTCGTCGAACTCTGCATGATCAATTATAAGCACTTTATTCCTTTTAGTAGCAACATAGTTTTGGTACTCTAGTGCTATTCAATCTAAATCAGTGCTTGATTTCATCCACCATCTGAAAATTGCTATATCATATCAGCCTGAACAGTTTGTGTGTGATTGTGTGTGTGTGCATTAACTTAGTGTGTGCATTAACTTAGCCTTTGACTAAAGCAGAATAAGCGTCTAAATAGTACCCCCTTTCTAGGAATTAAATCAGTACGATAAGAAATGTACTTAAACGTGACTGCAATTAGAGGATGTTTTTTTTTTTTGTGTGTGTTAAATTCCATGCTTGACGATATTTAGGTTTATTTTCAAGGCCAAACAAGTTGGTCACAACAGATCTTTCCGCGTGTCTCGTGTCCGCTATACTTTAAAACGTGAGTTTTCCTACAGCACCAGCACGCGCCATCCACCCCACCTCATTAGTCCCAGACACAAAAAGCTTGGTCACATTTATAATGTACTCACGTTTCCGGTGAGAGCCCCCGCAAGGACTTCAGGATCGGCGTGCGCTACAGTCACACCAGCCGTGCCGTACTATCGGTATACTAATCAACTGAAGCCTTATTTAAACTAATTATGCAGGAAATAAAAAAAAAAATCTCCCCGACACTATACAGACAAGCCTAACTTGTGCCACTTTTTATCATACTGCCACTATCAGGGACTTGGCTTGGAGCAGACTTTGTTTGGCCGAGCGGAGCTCCATACAAATTTTTGTTAGCTCCACTTCAAGCTCATCTATTTTTGTGACTTACCCATCTTATTAGCTAAGCAAATGAGCGTACCAGAAGTATACCTGGCCAAGTGTGTGTGTGTGTGGGGGGGGGGGGGGGGCCGCTGTAAAAGTATCGATAGATGAGTAGAGCAGCAGAGCTGTAGAAAAATTGGTGCTAGAAATTTAGATTTTTTTTTACAAATTAATTCAAACTTGTGTTCATAGCAGTAAGAAGTTTTACCACATCAAGCTCCGGGAAAAAAAGATCCTGCTCCAGAGCTCCGATCCAAAACCCTGGTATCTATAGAGCAAAGTATAACATATGTCACTATAAAGTCAGGTACCCGGTATGTTAGACTAGCAAGCAGCAATGTCTGTATAAGATAAGGCTGACCACTCAGTGGTTTTCAAACGCCATTTCGTATGTTTTATTAAAAGAAATTCTCGCCACTTGTTTTTCTCGTATGAAGACAGTGAGAGCGCAATTAACGGTTCAACCAAATTATTGCTTAGGTTGGCACCTGGCCAGTGTTAGTAACTATAGCCAACCAAGTAAGTTAACCCCTCCTTGAGATTGCTCCATTCATCACCCCATGAGAGGTGAGAGGTAGCACGGCCACGTGGCCGATGGAAATGACATAGAGCAGAAAGATGATATCGCTGAAAAGCGGATCTCAAACTGAGGTATCTACAATCACTGGGTGAGCCACTCTCCATCTCATGTTGATTAACAGAATATTAACATTGCAAAAAATCAAAAAAATCTATTGATTGATCCCCCTCCCAAAAAATATTTTAAAAAACATCCCGTGATGAGGTAATACAATATCGCCTCAAAGAAGATGTCGATACATCTGGTTAAACAAGTTAGAACCACTGTTAGTGAAAGTTTGTAGTGGTGTAGTCAGTCATGTTCTCACGCCACTGAATGACAAGGTCGTCTTTTCTCAAATAGCGAACAATAGTCTGAGGCAGCAGACAAATTGCTGATTCGTCGGAAGTTCTCCCTGGCAACATCTGAACCATACGAATTATCTTGATTAATCGAGGTTCGAGGATGAGCCTACAGATAATGTAATAGACTACCGTACTTCTCTAATGACTGATTAATAATTGGACAATTTTTAGTTAAATGTACCGGGTAACGTAGTTTAAATCGGTGGTTCTCAATTTAGTAGTAAGGGGCGTGGGCTCTATCTGGAATAACAATCCCGATACTACATTTTAAAATAATAAACGCATGAGACCAGACTATCCGTTTGTCTGTCTTGCCTATTATCAAACTGGAACATTTATTTTCTATGAAATTATGGAACAAAAAATAATTAAGATTAAGAAACACTATTATAGCTGTTAAAGGAGTCGTCATTGGTAAGATACGATTGTTAGCCTGGTAGTCGAATTCAGGGATGCTACTAACCAGGGTCACGCGACAAGTGTGTGTGTGTGTGGGGGGAGGGGGGGGGCGCGTCCAAATAGTTATTCTAATATAGTTTATTTATTTATGTACCGGTACTTCACAGAGACAATGGCAAAAAAAGAAAAAAAAAAAGAAAAGAAATTGTCCGTTCTATATTGATAGGCACCATCTTCAGGTTTCGACCCTAACGGCGTTTTTGCTAGGCACGGCCCTGTTCCCACACACACACACAAGCTGATCGATGCCAGTAGCCATCATGTAACGTGTGCGCCACCAACATAGCAAAGAATGACGTCAGGTACCTTCCCACCCGCCTAAATGGCGCCCCTGTTAACATCGACATCTCTCCATATAATCACATTTCCCCAAATCCCTTGTTCGCACCCAGTTTCCAACATAATTCAATAGTCCGTCCTGACCATGTAACACGTTTCTATTCCTTCAAACACTGGCGGTTGGTCTCGAAGGGAGGACACGATCCCAAATGGAATCCTAAAGATGACCAGGTCATTTACTTGTCTCAACAACAGCTCAATAATTACATTTCCTGTACCAATATTGGGTGGGGGAGGGGGAAGAGAGAGAGATACTTCCTTTCCATTTCCTGGGGTCATTTTAAATTAAAAGGAAGAAAAAGTATGACACCAGGTAATCATTATCTGCTAGATTATGTAATGTTTAACAAACAACAATTTTACTGGTACGGTACCACAATAAGGCACCTCTTAGAACTCTTGTGACTTAAATAATCCATGCCCATTAGAAGATTTATGCAAACACTTTATTGATGCCTGTCACTGGTAACAGTATATAAGCAGAAACAAGCTTTCTGCACCAGTTGTGAACAAGATTGTATATGTGGTTAAAAAGCATATTTATGGGTATGTTACCTCTGTGTGTACCTATGGTACCTATATCTATATGTACCTATACCATGAAATTAAATAGCTTTCAAGACACGAAAACCAAAGGCAGCACAATACTTTATAGTGCTGATCTGAACCTGCCTTGAGGCCTTTCAAGTACCCACAATGGCAAAGGTCTGCTGTTGAAATCACCATAATGATAGAATGCTGTTACAACAGTAATAATACTTAGTACAATTTTATTACTATTCTAATTCTAGCTACTATAAATCAGTACTTACTCTGATTATGATTGGTGTGATTCTTGGACTTGGCCATTTTCTTATTCAATCAGCCTGAAATGGACACACACAAAAAAAACATTATTCACCTTCATTCAGAACTCAGAAATATTCTTTTTTTGCCATAATCAATAGGGCAGGTGTATTACCTCTTCAATCACATTGTGTTTCATTTCGGTAGTAAACAATCTCAATTTCTTCTTGTTACCTGTATCATGTGAAATGTAACATACAAGTAGGGGAAAACCTGATAGATGACAAAACTAAACAAGAATTACTTTAGAGTTACAATGGCAAGATTATAAATGATCACAATTAACTGCAATACTATAATCTTTACCACCAAATATATATATATATTTTTTTAAAAAGATCATAGAAACTGATTTTGAAAACTAAAGTTAGGATTTTCAACCCAATGACAAATTATCAATGATATATGAAGCCAAAACTGGGAGAAAACTGCGATTATCACCTGTTTGAGCATCACACAGAAAACACAGACCTTCACAAACACTCGACCCAGCATTCCCGAGCTGTAACTCAGATGCCAGCGACCTTACAGGTCAAAACGAGACAGACGCCATCAACCGTGGCGAAATGTCACATGTAACAAAGTTTGATGCTACCGGTACAAACTTGCCAGATTTGTGAGTAGAAGAAACAAAGTCTTTAAAAAAACAAAAAAAGAAAGGCCAAAGAATACATTATATAGAGGCAAACACACACACAAATTAACGGGAAAGGAAAGCACTAGATGGCCTAAATGTGGTAAGTTCGTAAGTTTTCCTTCTAAAGCGTGAATTTAATACTACCCAACTTTTTACCGGTATACAAGTTGCACAATCTTGAATGGTGCCAGTCAATGTTCCCTTTAAGCTGCGCGGCTGCGCAGCTTTCTCACATACGCCGCGCAGCAGTTTTGAGTATCCGCGCAGCAAATTTCCATGTAAGTGTGTCTTTGTGTTTGTGAGCTGTAAAATTGTGCACACAAAAAAGTGATGCTGTAAAACTTTGCACACAACTGTATGATTTTGCACACAACTGTATGATTTTGCATACGAACCAGCAAACCTTAGAGGGATCATTGGTGCCAGTAACACTTTATTCATTATACTCAAAGTGTACAATCCACACAACCTTGCATGGTACGGCAGCAGTGACTAGCACATAGGTCATTAGGCTCAGTCTACAAGTCAGTCTTGCAACGTAGGACATGAGTCATTAAGCTATCGCCTGAGTTCTACTCATCAGGGACAACTTGACCTTCCCATCGCCCCCATGTCTGGAAGAGATTAAGCACCGGTCAGTGTCTGGCCAAACAGACCAGGAAGCTGACCGAAGGTGCAGAAACCTCGCTGACCGGCTGTCTGCACGTACGCACAAGGTAGCGGTAGCTTGGACTTTATTATGGTTGGCCGACATGGATCTCAAGATCTCAGTGAGCGAGGAAATACAAGCAGGTCGCCTCCACCAGATGATAACACTGGATAATGCATCAACTGTTCAAGAATTAACCGGTGCATTTTTTTAAAGCGGCACGAAATGGAGGCATGTTCTGAGCGTTTCTTTCATATGTCTATACCGGTACTGAATAAGCGTAAACACTGTGTACTACTTTTTTTTTCTGCACGGTATAGTCAGTCAGTAATGGCAGTCTCATGTAATCAGTCTATCAAAAATATCTAGACCTTCGACCAGTCTTTCCCAACGTTGAGTGTAAAACTTTTAACCCCCCAACACAAAAAGTGGAAAGGGGGGAAAAAAAGGGGGGGGGGAGTTCCCCGAAGATAATGGAAGGACATTTATTCTCCAAGCTGGGAGCAATGTTTCACAGTAGTGTTTTTTTCTTTTTACACTACATTGTTATAGTTTGTCACTAATTGCCAAAAAAATACTCGTAATTATAAATTGTATACTGCAGCTTTAAATCCGGAGTACAGGCTCCGATATGGTATTCAATTATAACTTTTAATGGACGTGCTAAAAATGGAGGCGGGATAATGCTAGTTACTAGATCCCATCAGTCTCATTAAATCAGATTTAAACCTTCACAGATTTTAGTGTAAAAAAGTACATCATCTGGGATCAATAGATACAATCAAACTACGGAGATGGTTAAAATTAAGGTTAAACTGATTCCATGATACCCCACTCCCACCAAACTTACTTTTCAAGTCCATAATAAATATGTTAACAATGATACAAAGTTTAGCTTCAAGTATTGACTATTCGGAACCAGTGCTACTAGTTTCTGTCCTTTGTGAGTATAAACTCGTACCTGTATTTATAATTGATATATTTCAAAGTGACCAAAATGAAATACGGAATGCCCTACATGAAGAAAAATAAATCTTTAAACTCAACTTTTTACAATGTCATAAAATGTGATTTTTGCATATCTGTTCTTACAATTTATATTAGTTTTAACTAGCCGCTACCTGATAAGGCGGAAATGTTTCAAGGCAAAGGCTTTGTCCCATCAGTCTCATTAAATCAGTTTTTGAACCTTCACATATATAAGGTCAAAGGGTTTACATCATTTGGGAAAAAAAACATTCTGCCAAGGGTTCATTCAAGCCTGTCATTATAGAGTTAGCCGAGACACGAGGCACAAAAATAACCCAAGTTGCCTGAAGTGAAACTCTACTACACCGTTTCTTTTTGGGGTGTAAAATATCTACGCCAAAGCGAGTAATGCCGGATACAAGTTTGATAACTGACTGCACCCAATGACTCTAATAATGTTTAGAGGTAGCAAAATTGACTGAACTAAAACTGAAAGCTCAATTTGACCGTTCATCAGTTGACCGATTAAGCCTACAGCAGAAAGAAGTAAGGTTAGAAAATACCCCTTGTGGTTTACAATTCAAAGTATATTATGGGAAATTACATTTTCCCAAGTGTATCCTGATAAACTAATTAGCATATTGCTTCCCAAGTGGAAGAACCAGCGAATGGAGTAGCGATGGCGTGTGGTACCAGTGAGGAGAACCAGTCTGTCTACAGTTGCTTCCCTTTCACAGAAATGTGCCTTTCTGCGGGGACTGGCGAGGGTGAGGGGAGTAAAGGTACTTGGCTGATGAGATATCAGATCAAATGTGTGCATTCGACAACCTGGGCTCGCCGAGATTTTATTGGCAACTAATGAGTTGAGAAATATTAATCAAGTGAACAACGCATTATCTTGGTAATATAAAACATTTAAACAGGCCATCAATCACAGCACAGTAGTTATTGGGAAACGAGGTGAACGAAAGAAAACGAAGAGCAGCGTAAATTAAAGGTGACGTTACAACGGAGTTGGAATAACAAACCAAGTCCCTATTGGATTACCAGTCGGAAAAAAAGGACTTTCGACACACAACTCTGAAAGCCAGCTAATGTGATACACGCCATTTCAAACAGCGCCATCGGCTTCATGTACTTAAGTGCATACAAGATATGAGAAGGATCTTCTCTATTTTTCTACTGTTTATGAGTGACTGGGATTAAAAGTACCGGTAGCATCAATTGTTTTCTAATGGATGTGATTAGTTAAAGCTGACATTAGAATGAGTGAGAAGGACTTGCTGCCAGATATGAGCATATTCATCAAGACCACCGATTCAATGGAGGTTATGGTGTTTCAAGAAGGGGAGAAAACAGCTCTTGTCGCTGTCATTTCGTTCATGGCAATTATCATCGCTCTGGGTAGCATCGGTGAGTAGCTTATCCTATCACTTCAAACCCGGACTGTGGTCTGAAATTGTGGGAGGGACACATGCTTTGCTAGTCACTAGATCCCATCAGTCTCATTAAATCAGTTTTAAAACCTTCACAGATTTCAGTGTAAAAAAATTACATCATTTGGGATCGATAACAAAATCCATCTAAGGAAGAGAAAAAGTCGGTGTGTTCGGGTTTCAAATACCGGAATGAGTTGCAGTATAAGTAAAAGCTTAAACTTAAAGAATTGGAAGTACTTTTGGCTAGGTGAAAGGGTGTGCGGGTCAAATTTGACTGCAAAGTTAAACATTGAATACCTTTGAATACCATCACGCTAATGAGTTTTCTACGGTATCAATTAATGATTTGGCCCGTAGTCACATTATCCAACACGACGACTTCACTTACACATATAATATCCCCGCATGTTATCTTTATTTCGGACTTCCCCATCCTGCTGATATCTTTAGAGGGTATGAGCCGAATTAACCCTTGGCAGTATTAAAATCAAAATAAATTTACGCATTATCTGAGCTCAAGCTCTTAATAGCTGCATAACTTTTGGAGTTCCTTGCCTAGGACAGCTCGCCACGCCCCAGGTCACCTTGTCTCCTCCCCCATCTCATATCTACCCCTAAAATAAACCTCAAACTCACATAACAAGGGAGCCATTCATTGCAATTACCTGCAATTGCGCACGTCTACTCACACGTGTCCCTTTAGCTCAATTTAAAAAAAAAAAACTCTTTATCTTTGTTTAGCAACAATCCCGTAATGATTAGCGTTAGCCACATACATTTGATAAGACGAATGTTCATACCGGTTAGTAAAATATATCAATCTAAGCTAGCAAGATAAATAACGCACAGGGATAAGAAATTGAAATGATAGTTTTATAAAAAAAAAATTAATCCTGCTTTTTGTGAAGTACAAAAAGATGTGAAAAAGTAATTGCTAATTATATTTTTTTTTTTTTTAATTATGGGCCATACAACAAATACAAGAATGGGAGGTAATTCAAAAAAATTCTTTATAAAAAAAATGTGAACGTTGCATCCCCTTATTCGGCAGTGGGCAATTGTGTCATTGGGATCAGGGGTGAACAGACATTTTTGTGTGCTCAGGATGTGCCAAGGAAATCTTTGAACAAAGGATGTTGAAGCTTTTAAGGGAAAAAAAATGAAAAGGGAGAAAAAAAATGAAAAGAGAACAAAAACACAAACTTAAGTGTCTGTAGTTCACCATGTTATAGAAAAAATTTGCAAACTTTTTAGGAATGTTGAGTTGAAAATACCTACTAACATTATAGCAGTTATATTCCAACAATTATAAAACTACTGGGCTTGTTGGCTTGCCAGATCTTTCATAGGTTAAGGGTCTACATCTTATTTGGTCACTGAACATGGTCTTTGAAAATTCACTCCCGATTTCAGTTAAAAATTAAGCAATGGCAATTTTTAGTGTACAGTGACTATTATTATTATAGATGGACAATTTTTACACTGATTACTAATTTATGAATGGATGTTACTGATAATCATTAACAATTTGTATATTCTATGAAAACACTTGTCCAGCTTCGGGAAGATAAATATCTGTATTCAATATTTAAGCTTCTTTTCACAATCCCAAAGTTTTTAAAAACTTCGAAAAAAGATGTTTAAAAAATTAAAACAATGAAACCAATCTTCCTTATCCCCAGGTAACATCCTTGTGACATTAGCTGTGCTACAAACCAAGAAACTTCAAACAGTCTCCAACCTATTTGTGGCTAACCTAAGTGTATGTGACCTCCTGTTTGTGACGGTGGTTCTGCCAGTCAACATGTACACATACCTCATGGAAGGATGGCAGCTCAATGATTACATTTGCAAGTTCATTGGCTTTCTGGGCTACACTCTCACAGGTACCGATACAAGCCGAGACAATTCTTCCTCTTTAATAAACAAATCATCCACTAATTGTTCTTTCATTAAATAATTCAAACACACTTTTTAATAGAAATTGGTGATTGCTAAGAGACAATCTCACATCACAGAGGATGCTAACAAAGGATCTCATTCACTTGACTATCTTTTTACTATTTTCCAGGAACAACAATTATGACCATCACTTTAATAGCTTGGAATCGCTATAAGCTGGTTGTTGATGTCAGCAGGTATAAGCAGTTGTTCAGAAAATGGAACATTGTAATCATGGTCGCAGCAACATGGGTTGTCCCGGTACTTTTCCTACAACCTGCTGTCTTTGGGGTAAGTCAAAATGTACAGACTGAGACTGTTTAAAGATATACCATAGCACCTCACCGCCAAAAATAAAATTAACGGTTAAAGATAGAATCAATGGCTGATTATTGATTGGACTGCAAATTTTCGTATGACCTGCGGCCATTAAAGGTTAAGCAAAATTCTAAAAAATAGAACAGTTGGTTGCTCTACCTCTACGAAAACCTAATAATAAATATTTATATTAAGTTACAAGTAAAGAGAAATATTGAGGGAAGAAAAATTCTATGCTACATCATGAAAACAATTTTGTATGTTCTTTCTTTACAGGCATGGGGTCATTTTGGTTACATTCCAATGCTTTCCAGCTGTAATTTGGGCTTGGACAACTCAAGTCAGACCTTCAAAATTTTTCTTCTTATCGTTCGTGCCGCTATACCATGTGGACTCATCATTTTCTACTACAGTGCTATCTATATAACAACTCGTGCATCACACCAGCGCTTGCACATTTCAACGACATCGAATTACATGATGAGACAAAATAACCATCGCAGAGAAATGAGGCTAACAAGAATGATGATTGCTATCTTTGTTGTCTTTGTTTTAAGTTACTTTCCATGTACAATTTCAAGTGTCATTGACTGGAGTCGAATATTAAGCAAGACATTTCATATGTTCTGCCAGACGTCTGTTTTCCTTGGGAGTGCAATCAATCCTCTACTTTATGGATTTATGAATGAACAGTTTCGCTGTGCTTATTACCAGATTCTAACATGCAGGGTTATGGTTCGTGGATGTAAAGGGAAGAAAAAACACATGCATCAAGCTGAAGCCGCAGAGAAAAAGGAAAATAAGGCTCATTGCAAAACACATAAAGACCACTTCTATGTGAAATCTGAGGACAGCATAGCCTCATCCTCAACCTCAAGGAAGGACAGCACATGGGAAAACAGTGACTCAGATGGTTTGCCTAAATCTGGCACCTGCAGCTCAAACACATCAACAAAAGGAATCGTTCCAAGTCAGTCACAATGTGATCCGAAAGATGGACTAAACAAAGTTATTACCTTTGAAGGCATTGAACACACTCAGGCCTCTGTTTAATTACTACCACAGACGGGGATATATCTTAATGAGGCATTTAAAGATGCTGAAAACAATAATTTGCAATGAAAAGGTCAACACCAATTTGACTACTTCCTGCAACTCTTGAAGAGGGTCATTTGTTACCAGATCACATCTCGTAATGATATATTTTGTGTTGCTATATTATATGTTAATTTTATTTTTTAATGAGTATATGCAGCTATTTCATACATTAATTTTTTGAAAATGAATACAACTCATAAATGTTATTGACTTTGATGACTTGTGTACAAATTATTTTAAAAAATCATACAAATTATTTTAAAAAATCATAACCTGAAAACTAATATTAAAAGGTGATCACGTTTATGGGCTCAGTGATCATTAGTGGTAGCAAATAAATAACAATCCCTACAATGTTAGTTCATGTATATAAGTGTCGTATAAATAATTACCTGGATCTCGTGGCATAACTTATGTGCTAGTGATATTGTTACTTTCTTGTTTGCCTCTTTCAATAAAATTTGAAATACTCCTACCATATTTGTGTTTCTTTTAGTCAGGAAATAAAAAAATATATGCCATGCAGAAAGACTGGAACATACTAATAATATAATGTGTAATTGAAAACTGATAACATGGCCTTCCTGTGGCTAAATACAAAATAGCTAGCATGTACTGGTATTTCAAAATGACTGTCTAGCCTACTTTATTTTGCATATAATCATTTAAAATATAATTTTGTTTGATGAATAAAAGCCGCTGTTGAAGTAAACCTAACACATTTGATACCAAGACCTAATTGATATTTTAATACTTCAATATGAAAGCAATGTATGAATACAACAAGTTCTGGTATAAGTTAAATCTTTGCAAGGATTTAAACATTAGGCCCTAATTCACAAGTCAAGTCAAAAACAGCTTATTAGTAAGTTTGACTACATCACAAGGCAAAAGAAACACTAAGACGAACAGATCCACTCACACTATTATTAGTGGTTATACTTTTTTGCTTGGTTCATATGCAATAGTGAATACTCCTTAAGCCTAATTAATTTTATTTAACTTACCTTCTGAATTGACCAATGCTGGCAACAGGCAGCTAACTGAAACAAAATTTAAAACTTTTAAGTGGCATTTTACGGTATAGTTTAGGGCCTATTCTCACTTAGGTCTACTTATGTTAAATAATAATTTTTACCAAAGTAAGTAAAATTGTTTTATAAAAAAAATATAAAATAAATAAAAATAACACACAAAATTCATAATTTGTATCGTGAAAAGCAAATTTAATAATAACCCCTAATAATAAGTATAAGTATGAGATTGATAATTTGCCTGTTTTGCAAAAAAAAAATAAATCTTATAATTTTACATCGTAAATTTAATTCTAACGTAAATTTAGTTCTAACATATAGATGATATAGGCATAGGACCTAGAAAATAAATATTATCCCTATGTCAATGTCTCTATTAAAGAAGACTTGCATTACTGCAAAGATGAGGTTTATTTTATTGCTGGAAGAAGTTCATCCAGGCACAAAAGTAAGGCACAGAAGCAAGTTCTTTTGATAATATAATATAATTATCCAGACGCAATAAAAATATAAAATAAGTAAAACAACTAGCAAATTAGGCAGATGGGAAGGGAGAAATTAAGGGGAAAGGATAAAAACATTGACCCTTAAAATGGACGGATTCACATAGGATGCAAGTGTTATAGCCAATGATAATTGGGACAGTTAGACTGAGCACAATATCAGTATTAAGGATTCAGTCTAGGATAAGCTGCAGACAATTATATAATACTAGATATAGCCCGCCAAACATTGGCGATAACAATGTGTGAACTTAACATCTACTAAAAGTTACATGATACAAACATGAACTCAAGTTACGCACATTTAAGAATGCCAATTTTGCTACACCCCACCCCCCTTTTCATGATACGTCACTGCACACTTTTTATTTCACGCCCATGAACTATATAACTATAGCCGACCCGCAGCTTAGCAAACGCCGCGAGCTTGTTGGGGTGTGCGCATGGCTGGCAAGAGAGGGTGGTGGGGGCAGCAGCTCCAACACAGTGCGCATGTTTTGAGACCAACGATGGGCAGGCAAGGGAAGGGATGGTTTGCTTGCCCTGGCGTATCTATATATAGCCTGCATCGTTGTCTTCTTGACCTAGTTTTTCTGGCGTATTATATATATATATATATATATATATATATATAGATGGGCAGGTAAATAAGTGATAAATATGTGTAGACTCGGTACAGCAGAGAGGGAGGTCCTAAAACAGTTGACAAGTCTGAGAATCCAGTAAAGTAAATTCAACACCAGTGACTTGTAAATTAATAAATATCTCATGCTAAATTACGTTATTAAATTTAAAATACCCTGGTCTAGTCTAGCAAAGCTGCAGACTGCCCCCCTCCCCCAAATCAGCCACAAATATAGTTGGCTCAATACTAAGGCCTACAAATAGCTAATTTTTTTAAAACTTCAATTTTACACACACACACCCCCCCCCAACCCCATCCAAACATGCAAACTTGTAAAAAACAAAAAAAAAAAAACAAAAAAAAAAAACAAAAAAAAACTTCAACAGTATGAAAAACTGTACAGAAAAAAATCATGAATTAAAAATATATAACCCCCGCCCCCCGGGTCTTTCAGAGACTGCATGTTAACATCATTCAAAAAGGAATATATCTTTTTAAATGAAAAAGTTTGACAAAATTTCTCATGTTAAGAATTACACATAGGTCAAAAGGATTGTAATTATGGTTTACTACTTGTAGTTATTCCCATACTATGCTGTTTTAGTAATAATGAATGATTTCATTGAAACCGTGCTGTTTCTAAGTTAAGATGGCATTCTGATCCTAAACTTGCTAATTTTGAACAGAAAAATATTTAAATTTGAGCTTATTGTTTAGGGGTGTGCCGGATCCGTTTTTTCCAACCGGATCCGGATTTTCTTATGCGAAATCCGCCGGATCCGGATTCCGGAATAATCCGGATTCCAGTTTCTCCCGGATTCCGGATTTTGGTACTATTGGTAGATACTTCGGTAAGTCAAGGTGGACTACTACTTTTTGTGTATGGGAATTCGCAATCGGCGCCAAAAAATCAGAGTTTTTAATTTTCCGATGTGTGTGTCTATTTATTATTAAATTAGTACTTTCGATATATATTTGAGTTCCGTTCCATTTGGATATGTGTCTTACGAGAGACGCCATGTTTCTACGCGTTCGCAGCAGGTCATGCAGCTCGCTCAACCTAATTTCGCCATGGGGTTGGCCACGCCCCCCTTTTTAATGGCGGAAGTTGGCGATACTTAGGAAATATTAATATATTATCACTATTTACATCAAAATAATTGATAACTTGTGTTTCAGAATGCATTTAAAGACATTTAAACTGGAATGTTTTAATTTGAGCTTTAACAACCCGGTAGAATCCATATTATAAATGATCAGAATTTACCGTGTGCAACACGTTGTCATTGGCAACCATTCACAGCCACTTGCATAACTGTATCGTAGTACTACCTCAGAGTTTCATTCATAAGAGTTTGCCGTGTGCAAAAACTATTAAACCATTGGTCAGGGAAAGCTTTAATTAATTATTCATGTGCCAAAGTTGAAAGTTTAAACTAAGTCTAAACAGTATTTTAGTGATAAGGCAGGGAATGCGTTGCCTTATATAAACTATATAGTCATTGCGCATGACGGGATTGGCGGAATGAGATCACAGAATGTGGAGATGCAGTCCATGTTAAAAAATGACAAACCAAGTCGTACTTTAAAAATTCATAACTTTAAAGCTACAACAGCTAAAAATATGATTTTGGTGTTATAATTCTTTAAAAAATTACATCTTTTCAACTATGCCATTGGTTTATTTTTACAAAAAGTTTAAATTTTCTTATCAAAGTCCCTACACTATTGGCGGTGCTGACTCTAGCCTCTGGTATGTACGGAATATTAAACATTAAACAAGCTCAACGCTCGAAACAATCGATTAATGTATCGTGATCGTGTGGAATTCGGGAAAGAGAATTACTTTTATTTCAGATTATGATCCGGTGAGTCACAAAATCTGGCAAATTCCAAAATCCGGTATATTCCGGAATCCGGTTTTTCCGGATACATGTAAATCCGGCGGAACCGGATTTCACCGGATAGTGCAAAATCCGGCGGAACCGGATTCCGGACCGGACTCCGGCACACCCCTATTATTGTTGTCCTACGCTGATGTTATTGCAGCAACAATGTTGAACATGTCTTGTATTTATATAGCGAAAATTTGGTGAAAAATTGTACAAAAGCCTTAGGGCCGTACAACTTAGCAAACTTATAAAATTACAAGTAAACCATACTGGCTGGTATGTATGCCCCTTGCCTTATGAAATAATTATGTATTTTTTAATTTTTAAAAAGAGCTCCATTTTCTTGAATCAGTGTAATGTATATTTTTTAAAAAGCTATTGAGAGCCATGAATTGAAAATTAATCAAGTAGTAGGCCCACACAAGTCATTTTAAATGATGGATTAGGATTGCATTATCCAACCATGCAACCTATTGGCCAAGGCAAGTTTGCTAGGCAACATGTGTTGAGATGTAGATTGAATACAGATAGTAAATTAGTATAGCATATTGATCACTGAGGACAGTTGTTTTGTAATCTATTGAAATGTATTACCGGTACTATAACTATAAGGTGTAAGCTGCCTATTCCCTATAGTTAGGCCTACTTCAACTTTCTTAATAGGTAATTCCTATAATTTTTTCCTACAAAGATTTATATTAATTTTATTAATGATCTAGGCATCTAGGGCATTGGTTGGCAAACTCAGTCAAAAGAGCCAAAAATCAGCAGCAAGACAAGTAAATTTTTTTGAGAGCCAAATTTCTTTTCAAGAACCTGTCAAGAACCATGTTTTTGGAGTAAAAACTGATTTGTGGCCCACTATGCGGCTCGCCAGCCGCAATTTGCTAACCAATGATCTAGGGCTTCCCATGATGTCCTGTAAAATATTTTTAAAACTGCATTAGGCTCAGGTTGCTAACAGCCTGTAAAAATGTAAACCTTTTTAAAACTACATTAGGCCCAGGTTGCTAACAGCCTGTAAAAATTTAAACCTTAAAATAAAGTATCTAACAAAATTGAAGTCAGATTTTACAAATTGTAAAGGCTGGAGATGCTCAAGACTTACAGTGCTATTTATACTTACTATTATCACTTTTGACACAAACTTCAAAAACATTTTGTTAGATTTCATACAGAAATTGAGAAAATGTACTTTCCACTATTTACAGGCTATTGGCCGAGCCCAGTGGTCGGCAAACTCAGTAAAAAGAGCCAAAAATCTGCAGCAGCCCGATTAAAATTTTTTTTTAGAACCAAATTTCTTTTCAAGAGCCTTTCAAGAACCATGTTTTTCAGAGTAAGAACCAATTTGTGGCCGACTGGCTGAGCTACACTCAGGTCGCTAAAGAGCCACATGCAGCTTGCGAGATGTCATTAACTGGCTTAGCCTAATCACTAAGTCAGGGTTGCCAACTCAACAAAATTTAAGCTTACAGAATTAGAATAGATGACTATTCATTTATCATATTCTAAATCACTTATCTCAACAATTTTTATGGGCAAATAACAATTTTTATGGATTTTGAATGCTTATTGCAAATTTAAAGCTAAAAAAATAGACAAATATTTGAACGATTACATTAACCCTTTCGAATAAGACGACGATTGGGCTATGTCGACAATTATTTGTGTCTCACATATGTGCATGGCTCTGTACTGAGGTATTATATAAAAGGTTATTTGATTACTTAGCATTCTCAAAATCCTGTGATTAATTATCATTCAAGTTTTAATTTTAAGCAAGCAAGAATATTCAAACATTAACATTTCTTATTTAGTTTTACCATCAAAATTATTTTGTACTAGCCTATGTCTCATTTTCATTTCTTTTTAAATGACAACCAAAGGTCCTTTAATGAATAATTACAGATAATTATGATAATTCTTTAACTTTCACCTCATTTACAGCACAATTATACAATTTGAAATTGAAGCTATTTAAATAATTCACCT